AGCTAAAACATTTCAAGTGCTACTCAACTGGCTTTAGATAAGCCAGTCCTTTATTAGTATATAAGTGCTTTGTTAATAGTTCTATCGAATACAAAGAGTTACTGCTTGGACTACTAGCACAAGTACAATCAAGTACTTTTACTTTTTTTGATTAATACTCGGTCAAACTCCCGTCCGGAGTACAATAATTCCTGTATTGTATATGAACTATGAATTATTGTACTCAGGAGGGGAGTTTGACAGAGTATTACTCAAAAGGTACACAGTAAAAGTACTTCATTGTATTTGTGGTAGTAGTCTAACAAGTACGGAGTCCAACAGTGTCAGTTTTATTAACAAACTTATGGTAAAACATATTTTTATCGCAAATATAGCACAAAAACATGCATTATTTTACTCTTATACTAGCGTCAGTGCCGCTTCTCGGCCGATCACCGTAAAGGCGCACTCACAAATGAAGAGCTGCTGATTTGACCAAGCAAACGCGAGAGGCGGCTGAGTTGACCGCAGTATTCTCCTGCACTCCGACAGGACTGAGCACTACATCGAGATTAAGATTAAACATTTGGGAACACACATATACCTATGGAGTTGGCCAGATGTGTGTAAATTACTGTTCATTTGAAAACAAATGCCGGCGTCGGACATTTCACAAACACACCAAACACACACACAGAGCGGAACTGAGCACAGCACAAACACACACCTCATGCGCCTCGTGGACCGGACATCTCCTTCATAAAACGAGTAATGGGGGGAATAATCGGGCAGTTCGATGTGTGTAGAGGTGTGTGTGTGCGTGTGTGTGTGTGTGTGTGTGTGTGTGTGTGTGTAGAGGTGTGTGTGGTTAAAACAGCAGCCTGCAGTTGCTCTTTAGCTGTCTAATGAAGGTAAACACAGCGAAGGCTTTGTGTAAAAGGCTCAGCTTCACTTCCTACTTGGCGAACCCGTAACTTTCTCGTGCGCACAAGAAAGTATATCGTGATGAGTAAAACCGTGTCAAAAAAAAGTATTTAAGTATTCAGGTTATCAATAACTATGTAATTTAAGTGCATGAAAACACAATTTGTTTTGATCTTGTACCTTTGGTCCACGCGTAGTCTGGTGTCGGTGGGGGGTAGCAGCAGCTTCAGGGGGGGATCCAGCTCGTTCAGCTCAATAGCAAACTTGGTGAAGCCATAGTACTGCTCAAGGTCTGCTGGCATTGCATCTAAATTCAACATAAATAACAACCAATGCATCAGGTACAGTCAGAAAGACATGCATTGCAAAAGCGCTTCTTGCATTCTTATAAAAGAAAATCATACTTGCTCTCCAGATACATTTGGCTGAGGGAGGGTCTCCACAGAAAACAGCTTCCTGCCACTTTCCAAAGAGTCTGTGGATGACCTTCCCTTTGTTATCCGTGATAACTCCCTCCACCTCATTCACGCTTGAATTCCAGTATTTGGCCTGTGAAAAGGATTGACAGTTGGAGAAGAACTTAGTTTTAAGCTATTATAAGTGAGCATGAATAGACAACTTAGCGATCACAATCATGTCCTCTCGCAGTCAGCAGATGTTGCTGTTGCGTAAACCATACCGAGCCCCAGCTGTGTGTTGCCAAGCTGCTGTGTTTAATGGCAGATAAAGACGCATAATGAGTTCTGACGTGTCTGGACTTGCTACCCTTCGCAGCTTCAGGAGGTCTTTCAAATGGGCACACGCTAAAGCAATTAACCTTCTCCATCATCCAGTAAAGGCTTCCAATCATCAAACACTGAGAACTGTAGTGTTCGTAGAGGAGAGCATCATCTCAGGTTTATGGACTAATGAAGGTACAACTGCATTTACTATTCTTAAGGCGACAACATTATTATTTTTTTTTCTTATTTTAAATCACACTCCATGGGGCGCACAGAGGGATGTCTACCAACAAAAAAAACACATAGGGAGTTAAAGAGAGGAAAGAAAAAGCGCTACATTATGCAGGAGCTGGAATGTACTTAATTATAATGGCTTTTGAATCACTATATTTTACGTGGAGCAGGTGTGACATCAACCCTTAAGGCCTTTAAAAGCCTTTTTATTTGAAAGATGCTTCATATGCCTTGTGTTGAAGCACCTTGCAAAGAAGAGTAGTTCAGCCTTTAGTTTCATATTTCCAAATTAAAGAGCGCATTTGTTCTGAGAAATGTGAACAGAAAGCTTTTGTGGCTAAAGAAAAAGTTGTTGATAGTGGTAATGTGAGTCATTAGGGTGGGTGCATCTCTGCATACAGTTACCAAATATAACTCTTCTTTTTGTCTCACCTTAACAAAAGTGATCTTGCATTGACAAATATCACTGCTGGAGTTTCTGATGGAGATCTCTCCATAATGTTCAATCCAGCGCTGTCCACTGAGAATGTTGTGGATGCAGGACGTCACCTTGTTCCACTCATAGTGGTCTCCAAATCTAGAAACAAAAGGGATTAAAACAGCATTCCTTTTAACGTGACTTGGTAGATATTGCTCTATTATTTGACATGGCCCTTGGTTTGTACAGTCTCCATCTATGAGTCTTAGAATAAATAATGCAAAAGACTCACCCCGGCAGAGTTACATGAGTGGTGCCAACAGGAAGAATCTCCATTGATTTCCCCCAGAACTTGTTCTTACACCTCACATCTACAAAATCAATCAGAAAGAAAGTAATCATACACGTTCAGCATTCATCCTAGAGGGCCAGCCACTGTTCAAATATATTCAAACACTGACAAAGGACCAGATTCATTTCTATATTCGACTACCTTGCCAGAAGATGAAGTTTTTAGACTCTGCGTGGCAAGCTGAGATCGGCGGGTGATGGCTCACCTGATGTTTAAAACAACTGGGTTAGTAAATTGATTCAATAAAAATGCTTCCAGTGCACGCATTACAATTATTATTAGAATACTGGGATTATGAATAGCACAGAGACTGGATTCATGCATACCTGCTCTGCAACAAATGTAAAGCCTTTATCTGGCCGGTCACATTCGTACGTCTCTCCCAGGAGAGGGTTAAAAGGCTTTCCCCCTGTTCTGTAGTAGCTGGATGCATAGCCCGATACAATAAATGTAGCTATGTATACCTGCGCAAAGAGACACGATTACAGTTAGTATTGCCTTTGTGATAATGTCTATTACAGAACAATTTGTGTTGAACATACATTTCGAGATCAGCAGAACATTGAGGTATATCATCTTTATAAAGCACCACATATTATTGGTCATTCACCTCCATGCTGTAAGGAGCAGAGTTACTGTCTGAATACCCGGGCACTTGCACTGAGTCAAGAGCATACATATAATTACTTCCACATCATAATGGAAGGCCAAGGATTGGAGCTGACATCGACTTCAGCTGCTATTTATTTCACATTTATATACTGTCTGTGGCGCTTTTGTCCTTTATAACTAGCTGACTCCACAGGCTGTAGCTCCACACCTCCCACACCACAGTGAACAAAACGCAAGCAAATGACTATCATTCCAAAGTTCGGCGTTGCAAATGTGAGGAAGTGAAACACCCAAAGAGGCACAATCTTGCCATTTGCCTGCAGGAAATCTGTAAAGCAAGATCTCATTCAAGCACTTGGCAATACCTCTGACACTGGGCAGCTGAAGTCACTGGTCTAGAGGAATAAGAGCGGGCAAAGATTGAGTAACTCCTGGTTCTATCCAAATATATACATGTTTAACCTGTTTGTGTACAGATTTAACAAATAGGATAAAAATGTTTATTAAGCTTTAGAAGTGCTGGGTAGTTTTCACTTTAGAGAAAGAAAGCTGTCTCCCTTTTCCTGTCTACAATGTAAGCAAAGCTAAGTTCATTTTCGCCTGGCTTGATAGAGCATCAATCTCATCTGACTCCTGCAAGGAAGAGAATAAGAGAATTTCTAAAAATGTAAAACTATTCCTTAAAAATGTAAGAATGAGTCAACAGTTATTTCTATTTCTTTATGGCTACCTGGGGAAAAAAACATTTCACATGGACACACCCTATGCGAAAGCAGAGTGAGCTCTAAGTCTCTTTCTGGTCCTTGGTGTGATGAAAAGTTTCTCAAAAAAATCAATTTTCCTTTAACTTTTACAGACTAGCTTCACCAAGGGCAACTGCTTTTGTAAAAGGAGGCCCATTATGTGCTGAGAGAGAACATGTGAACCTAGCTCTGCCCACACACTCACACAGAAAAACGGTGTGTTTGCCATCTCACCATACGTTCAAAAGGGTCCTGTGTGTTAGCAGCCCTGTCCAGCAGCTCGCTGTACTCCAGCTCCTCACACAGTCTCTGCAGGGCGTTCAGCGGCTCATTCAGCTGTACAGGCATCGCCACTTTGGACAAGTCTTTGCCGATGTTGTTCCTGAGGATGTTCCACAGGCTGATGGAGCTGTTGTTTGGGCTGGGCGAGGGCAGGCAGGATCTACGCTGATAAAGGACAGTGCCTTCTTCCGCAGAGCCTGGAAACAGATGGCGTTAGAGGTCAGAGGACACCGACAACCTTTTGTGCGGTGAATGCTAAAGTGGAAATATTTGTGTGGTATCCAAGGTATGTCCAATATCTTACCTGAGTTTGGTCTCTCACATTCTGTCTCGTTGCAGAAGTTGTCCATGGAAATGTTGTCACTGATGTCACTAATGTATGAGTCATCCTCCGACGCCTAAAAATAATCCAAACTTTAACTATCAGAAACAATTTTAATACAACCTGGGATTGGGCAGGTCTCTCTCAATATCCTGTAACATCAGCAAAAAAACATATAATAAAATAAAATAGAGATGAACGGTCCCTAAGGACCCGGTGACTAATTTGCACCTGAACTTGCAGTATTTTTAGATTAAAGTAATTAACTTCCATTTTCACATTGCTTCCACTCCAGCTGCTATCTGATCCTGCATGCTGTATGAAGACTCGAAATTAAACTGAAGTGAGGGACACTTGTTTAATGACACATTCAAAAAAAGTGGTGTTAGGGAAGGTAGTTTAAAAGGCATGTTTTCTTTTTGCAACAGCACTGATTGTCACAATGTGTTTCAAATGACAGGTTACAGGGGATAAATCCATTCAAAACCTCTGGCGTGTATTTCTGTCTTGATTGATTTTATCATGCAGATCTTTTGCTCATACAATAGTAGAAGCAAACATGACAAATGACATGACATGACATTAACAATAATTGTACTTTTATGCAACCCTAATTGTCAGTTCAGCTGCTGATAGTGCCAGTTAAGCCTTCACACTTACCTCATTTTCTGAGGAACTAGAAGACAGCAGAACTTCCTGTGCATCGAAGAACTCGGACAAAGACTCTGTGATTGAAGCTCTGCTGTCATTGGAGACTTGATGTACGAGTGGAAGGGATTCATCAGCAGACTCCTGTTTCTAGGAAACACAATGTTCACAGGTATAATTAAGAACAAGAAAAGAGCAACATCATCAAAGCCAGAATGGGCGGCAATCACAGGGAAATTCAGAAAAGCATACAATCACAATGATTGGATAATGTGAGGATTGCAAAAGAAAAATCTCAAATTCAATATATTGGAAGACAGTTATCAATAAAATACATGATCATACATATATGATTGTTTTCACAATATAAATGACAATTAAAATTGCGTTTCGAAATGTATTTCAGTTTCATAGAAGGTTATATATATTTATTAATCGGTGAACTTTGACATCATGCAACAGAGTGCATGCCTCTTTCTTTTTACTACACAGGGACATTTCCATGTGCCATCGTTTGAGTTAAACAGCCATAAATACGCCACAAATTTGAACCTTTTAAAAATGGAAGACTTAAAACTAAATTTGTATAAAAGAACGATCAGTTTTGCAATATATTGCAATCAACCTTTTTTCTAGAGTCTGTATCCCAATATATCACTGAATAATTTGTTTAAATCCAGTCAGAAGTGCACGTGTGCAAGAAGTGTTCACACTAACTCTTCTGTCTGGCAAGTTGTTAACACAAAACAAGATGCACATTCAAACTAAACTCATAGCATTCATATTGTTCTGCTGAAAACAACTCAAAACATGAAACAAATTACTAACGAGAAGTACTTTCCACAGCGGCACACACGCCCCTACATCCTCTGTTATTGCCGGAGCTGATTAATTGGCCTGGAGATAATCTCTGAGGAGGCGAATTAGTTTTGCACCGTGTGTTCAAACACATTTCCGATAAGATCAGCTCACACTCTCTGGTCAGCAAAGCTGATTAAGAGAGTAAAGAGCTTCCTTTGGAGACAATAACGTGAAAGGTAATCTTCCCCTGAGCCATGTGATGGTAAAACACAACCACAGGACTGAGAGGAAGCACTTTCTCATAGCAACATAATGGGAATACAAAAAAATTGAGGGGGCCTTGTTCCCTGAAAAGTTTGCATTGAAGAAAATCACACTTTTAATAGTCATTGTTTTGATAAAAAGGGAGGAGGAGAGCAACATTTGCAGAATTTGGATGAGAGGGAAAGGACAGCTCATTCAGTCTGTGGCAAAGTCAACACTGTGTGGGTTGAAAAAATAAAGACTGAGATAATAATAATCATAGTGATGGTGGGGGTGGGGGGGAGAAGAGTCACTGCATTCCTGCACCAACCTGTACAGGGGCAGTGACATTTATTAGTGTGGGCTCTACGATGTGGGACTCGGCATGAATCTTGCACAGGCGCTCCCTCAGCTCAGAGTTGTGGGCTAAAGCCTGTAAAAATAACCAGTGTAAACATTTTTACATCACAAATCAATTCAATCATTCAGACAATACTAATACCTAAATGTCCTTACTTGAACTGCTTATGCTCACATGCCATTTACTTTTATTATAGAGATGTGTGCATGTGCTATCACAGCAGGCCTATTACTCACTCATTACTGACTCCATGTGAGGTAGGTAGAAGCTAACACCCAGCTGGGTATTTAAAGTGAAGGAAATGTGTTGGCGTAAAGAGAACAGGAGTTCTAAAGCTGTGAACATGTCAGCATGACAATTAGTGTGCAGTCATAAAACATAAAATAGAAAAAGGAAGTCTCATGGTTGGAGGCAGAAGCCACAGTAAACATGATGACCATTTTGATTATAGATATGTTCAGGTGGGCAGACCTCACACCGGCAGCTAGTAATCCCTCAAAGATGCTCAGCAATGTGTCACGCCTTACAAGTGGTGCCGGCTTCTGAGAGGTAAGTCTATAAGAAGGCGGAATATTAATTTCTACTGGCTGACAATATTTATGTGTAAGGGTGTGAGTTTGTGTTGTTTCACATACCGTTGTCAGAGCGTTCTTCAAACCGACAACCTGAGGAGAGGTAGGGGGAATTGTTTCGTGGTCCACACATTGTTTTAATCTCTCTCGTTCAGATGTTAGTGTATTCAGGGTCGTCTTCATGGTTGCATGAACTGTAGAGATGGGAAAAATTGACGAGGGGAGATTCAGTGCGAACAAATTTGCTTTAATTTCAGTGCCATGCAGATCCAGTCACAGTAGATTCAGTCAAAGTCTATCACGCCATGCTTTAAAATGGAAAAAGTGTGACATTTTGATGATCTCCTATCCATTTGCAAGTCACGATCTTTATTCATTTTACCACCCACCTCAAAATAGATGCTTGGGAGGTTATAATATAGTAAGTGCTTGTCATATTAATGTTTCGTCTTACTAGATCGAAACTAGAATCACACATCCTTAGCTTCATCATTTTGAATGTGCATCAATCTGACCTTTTCGGACGTGTAATTAGCAAAAGCTTTATTGTTTATTGATATCAGACAATGATACTACAGATTATTCAATTATTAATTAAATATTTAGTTGTGTTATTGCATTCATTTGTATAGTACTGTATCATGTCTGTATCATCTTTTGTTTCATTTGTATTTTCTTTGGTTTTACACGCTCGAAAAAAATAAATAAACTAAACTAAACAAAACAGTTGAAATGCCAGCAGAAGTGATAGTTGTTCCCCGGGGCAAACTTTAAACTCATTTTACAGGGAAAGTGGGAATTGTGAGACCATTACATAAAAAAACAATTATTCTCATTATGCCATGTCAAGCATCAGGTATCTGAATATAAATGTCAATGAGGAGTAGCAGAAAACTAATTAATACCCCTCTTTCAAATCCAAATCAGCTGGAGGACACGCAGAACACACTATCAGAATCCTAATGAATGTAAACTAAACAATCAGTAATTACCAGCTGCCATTGTCACATCTATTTGCTATGTACAACAACCCACTACCGTTTCTATGTTACATGCAAATAAGACAGCTGTCTGACAGATATATGTGCACTTGGGGAGATATTCCCCTTGATAAAAATGGTGATTTAAGATGACCAGCTCATAATATTTGACTCACAGTTGGCAGCAACGCGACAGAAGTCCTCCTGCAGCTTGGTCACGTCAAAAGCTGAATCCAGCGATTCGGTGTCCGCCTTGTCGTTGGCGAGCGCAGCGGTGGAGAGGTTGGGGTTTGAGGCGTGGAGGCGCACAGAGCTAGAGGAGATGCAGCTCGGCACCTACAGTAGAGCAGCAGGAATACAACTTAGAGGGATTCGTACGAAAAAAGAAGAACGAGGATCACATGTCATTATTAAGATGTGTACCTGCAGAGTTGCTTTGACATCTTTGTTGTAGTTTTTAGTGCGCCATTTCTTTGGAAGTCTCTTTTCCTTTTTCTGGCTGTCAAACGTAGATGCCTAGTGAACAAAAAGATAAAGATGTTCGAGACAGAGTTGTTTTTTTACTTTGAAGGCTCTTCATAGGAAATGGTTTCATTGCTGGCAAAGACTTATCAATGTTTTCTATATTTAGAGGCAAATGACTTGAGGGCAACAAAAGAATTGGTGGAGAGAAATGATAAAAGACAAAATCAAGACAAGTTATTTTGCATTTTGAGTGATCCAGTTTTGGATGTGAGTAAGTTCATTTGCTGCACAGTTTCTCAGGCTTAACGTTGAGTTGCAAGAACAATCCGGCTCTGCATGTGAAGGGGAGAGGAATCAGGAATAAATTGCTGACCTGCAGTGCTTGGATTGATGGAGCAGAATAGGTGCGGTGCAGGACTTCCATACTCTGAAGCAGGTGGTTGAGCTCCAGCAGGTAGGCGTCACACACTGACAAGTCTGTGGAGAAGGGAACATTTCCACATTGAGATAAGAAGGTTGGTTTAAGAAGAGAGTTACATAAAAATAAAATGTATCTGCAATAAAAGGAACAGAAACACTAGCATGTACTGGTTTGGCCATTGAGGACAGACTCTCTCTCTTTACAGACTATAAATGGCTGACGTACAGTAACCTACATCTATTCAGTCAGTGACGCTGATGTTCATAAACAACTAACAAAGTAGCAAAGTACTGCTTGTGGATTGTTTGGTACAATTACCTAGATTCCTAGTTCTAAACATCACAACCTCTCGCTTAGTTGGAGGCTAAAAATGTTGAGAACAAATCCTAATCAATGAAAACCGTTAAAAAAAATAAACCAGTTCCTTTCTTTATAAACAACAATGCCATGCCAGTCCCATCTTACTAACAAATAGGACAGAAGGCAGACAGATTTATTGGTATTAAGTTACTGAAACATTCGATAAATGAAAAAGCTGTACTCACAGAGCCTGCCTTTTTCATTATCAATGACAACTTTACTATAACTATGAGGGTCTGAATAGAGCAGAACACTTCCATTAACACAGGATAATAGGAGGGAAATCCTAGATACATCTCTCAGCCAGTTCACATCTTTATTTAAATATCATTGTATCATCTTTTTTTTTTTAAACTAGGAAACAGGATGGAAGACATATAAATACTATAAAAAATGTGTAAGAAACCCCTCAAATCAGCAGAGTCAGCTCTACTGCCTCACCTTTGGAGCAGTTGTCCATGTCGTCAGATGACTGGAGCCAGGCGGCTACTTTGGCCTGGCTGCTGCAGTTTAATGGGAAGGCTCCTGCAGAATGCACTGTGGACTGTCTGCGCATAGACATGCACTGCAAGGGACAAAAGAACCAAAGGTCAGTCCAATAACAATGTGCTTCCTTCATCAAATCATAAAAAATGGGGACTTGGTGAAATAGATTTTCATGAGCAGAAGCAGAAAGCATCAAGTGAGTTGTCAGAGTACTATGCAGTGCACAGGTATACCTTTCTGATGGAGGCACCCTCCGCCATGCTAGGGGAGTTGGCGGAGGGGTAGTGGGGATAGTAGAAGGACTTGTCAGTAGGGTACATGGCAATCTCATTTTGCCGATAGAGTCGATGGTGGCGCAGCTTGGCAACCCATTCATCAAACAGCTCCTGGGACTTAATCTGGAGAGCAGATACCACAATCAGAAATCAACGAGACGACCCGACGTCAAGGTTAGGTGGAGGAAGCGTGAAGGTGGAAAAACACACAGAGGGACTGTAATTCTCCCTTATCCACAACACATAAGGTCATTTTAAAGTCCTCTCCATGTAAGCATCCGTTACAGAAATTAAAAGGGGGATAATCTGAATAATCTATGTTTTACAGCACTTCCTATCAATCTGTGGGGAATGCTTTCCATTCATTAGCCTTCGCGGTTTACCTTCAGGTGATAAATGTTTTCCTCAGCATCAAGATCGATGCACTTGGCTTTCTTCTTAATGGCCATGACAGAGAGGCCCACGTCAATGCAGCCATGCAGTTTCCCTTTCTCAATCTGCAAGACAAAGTCAACGAACAATGTTATGAATATTTTGGACTGGAATTCATACAATTGTGAAGGGATGCTGTTCTGTTTTAAAATGCAGTATTATACTTTTATTGGCTCTGCGCAGCCCTGCCCAATTACAGCGTCTGGATTGCTGATAATTAATCATGTGAAATTGGCAGGTGAAATGCACCGTGTGATTCCTATCAATGACAACGATATTCTGCACAAACTGTGCTGTTGTATTTGTTGTAAAGTGTCCTTAGTGCAAAGTATTTTTACTGTACAGCACTTTGGCTCGACCAAAAATCGTTTTAAAAATGTGCTATATAAATAAAACTTGATTTGATTTGATTTGAACGAGATTGTGAGTATCTACTGGCACAGATAGATATTTTGGGAAAGACAGCCAATGGTACAAGACACAAAATGTCCTTTGAAATCTTTCTGTAACTGACAACCACATAGTATGCATCTAGAAGGCTTTTGTACTCACATCAGCACTGCACTTTCCATACTTCAGGATGCCCTTGTCCAGGAAGAAGTACCTCTGTATGGAGAAATTAGGACAATGAGCAAATGATCTGCAGCCGGAATGATATGCAACAGCCTGACAGCAAGTCTGAAGTCACGGCTATGATTCTGTGATCATGACAGAGTCCGCCTCTCTTTAATGTAGGTTGTTAATGTCTCTGCAGAGAGATATTTGTCATCCCAGGCTCTTGTCATGCATCATTTCTGTCTTTATTACTCTTTCCCTCACTCTGTTGCGATCCTTCTCTTTGTAAACGTTCCAGTTGAAAGCACAAAGACAAGAAAAGCTCTGACTGCAGGTCAATACTAAATGTTTTACCATGGTTTTATCTCTATTAACTAACAGTCCATCAGCTAATGCAGCTAGGTAGCATTATCCCAGTGAAAGCTTTCAGACAGAGCGTGAGCGGTTACTGACCCAGGTCACATGTGACTCCTCTGTGGGTGAAATCAGCTACTGCACATGCTCATTCAATTAGTTTAAAAGACAAATGAGTCATGTCAGCAGATCTTTTTGGAAAAGAGACCTGAACGTATGAAGTAAAACCGGGAAATGGTAATGATGTTCGATTCTCAAGTATGTCTAAAAATACATCATGATGTCTATCATTCTGAGAGATGAGTAAGATCGAGATGACGTGGGTCAATTAAGCCGCATGTGGTTGATTATACCTTATGCCAGCCCTTCATCGGCCACTTTCTCCTCTTGAGCATGTAGCCCTCCTGTTTCTGGGGCTCCAGGACATTGCTGAAGCCTCCTCGAAGACCCTCCACTATTTCCCAACTGTCCTGTGGGCAGAGGTGGTTTATAAGAAGAGATACAATATAGTTATAGATCACAGTTGCAGTAAGGTTAGGTAACAATAAACAAATCATCCACACAACAGAGTCAAGGTCGGAGTCAAAGCATACAGCAATGTGTGATTGATTAGATTTCTGTGTCTCCTTTAATGCAGTGTCAGTCAGTCAGTGGGAGGCTGTGGGAGTGGGAGATACATTTTATGCTGAGTGAGAATGGAGCTCTATGAGGTGTCCATTTTTTAGCTTTACTTTCAACTCATGATCCCATTTTCAAAATTAGCTTACCTGTCTAATCTCAACTCTTCACAATAATCCTTTTCTGAGATTAGAACGCTAAAATCCAAATCCCTCTGCAAATGGAGAGATTAAGGTGATATTTCATCATAGACTAATCCAGATAGCTTTGTATTTGAGTGGTGAGAATTCCAGGAAGGCAGCATAAACAGGAAGCTCTATAACATCTTTGTTTACACAGAGAATGATGCAGCCTTTAACATGCATTACTTAGCTTTTAAACCTGTTGTATAATGTATGTTTGCTCAAAAGAGAAACCCCAAATGATGTCTTCGTCATTTATTTAAATGTAATGTATTATATTTGAGTACTGTTAAATGGACACAATAGGCAAACATCTCCTTGGGTTTAGGTAGATATTATAAATTCATAAAGTTGCAACGCTTTTTTTAATGATTTCAATTTGCTGATAATGCAGTTTCTTTAGGATTGTACAGTAAATTACATTAATCCCACATGGGAAAAACATTTAAGAATAATTCATATTCACATCCCAAATATCCAAAGGGACTCTTGGGTCTTGGCAGGGGTTTGAGGTGACTCTGTGTCCCTGAATGTTCCAGTGTAAATACATGTCTGGCTAAACAAACTGTATCAGTCAGACGGCTGGAGGTGAGGCCTCTAAAATAAACCCTCATTTCTGAAGGGGGATGGAGAGGGCGGGACTTGTGGTTTGCTCTTTCACTTGAGTGCTCGTCACAGCCCCCGCTGACACACTCACACAGTGAGTCATTGTCACACACTGCCAGTCCATTTTCTTCAAGGTCGAGAGGCCCTTTCAGCGATACAGTAAAAACACAAGTGACAAGAAGACATGTGCAATTACAGGGTTAGCTCTCAGCAAAAGCAAGTTGTAAATTGTCCGGCTGCAGTTTTAAGATGGTTGTAAGATATACTGTATATTGAACCATATATTTGACAAATCACATGAACCTACATTGAACATCACTAGCATCAAATAAATAAATAAATAGTTAGATTGATAGCACTCCTCTTAGTACGGTGAATATGAATCAATGGCAGTTAGCTTACTGTAGCTTAGCACACAGACAGGAAACATGAGGAATGGAAAGACATGTCCAATGGTAAACATTCTGCCAATAACAACCTCTAAAGCTCACTAATTAACATCTTAGATCTTTATTGTTTGAACCATACAATAACAAGTTGTGAAGAGCAAGTTATGGGTTTGAGGAAGTTACTGCTAGAAACAAGTCAGCCTAACCAAACAGTGACGTTTTTACAATTTGAGCTTTAGGGGGGCTGGCTCTTAGAGCGGTTTCAACCTGTCTTGCCTCGATAGGATATGTTATGTTTATAATTTCTAGGCTCCATATTCGTATTTACATCTAACTTAAATATTCAACTAATTGCACATGCTACATGGAAAACTGCTCACCAGACAATTGCTCCTATAGGAGTGAAAGAAAATAGATATATTTAAGTGAGAAACCCTACAAAATGTGACCATACATTTTTATAAATAATATGAAACTTATATCCAAGCTTGTCTCAGGTTTGAAACTGCCCTTTTGATGGATATTTATATTTATTCTTTAGTTTTTCCATGGGCACTGCAAAATACTTTTCAGTCGATGCATTTGCTGTGATGGACCACTAGTGTGACACTAGGGTGTCCTGTGGGCAGGACTGTAATGAAACATTATTACTTTTATTTCCAAACGGAACAGTTGTAGACGGTAATGAATAATGAATAAGTCTGCTGCCTGCAGATAAAGAGAAGAGGAAAATGCAACAACAGTTTGGTAATGGCGCTATTGTCAAGACTCATTTGTGAGTGGGAGAACTACCTTTTAGGGATATGTCGCATATTTGCATTTTCGAAATTCTGAGTATTCTTAAATTGCCCACAAATAGAAGAAATGTGGTCTGAGACAGAGCCAGGTTAAAACATATTTTTTTCAGGTTTGCAGCATTTAGTTATTGCTGTCTAAAATGCAAAGGGAACCTCAAATAGGGCTGCCTCTGGCTTGAATTAATAAAGAGCCAAATAGAGCTTTGTGAGAAACTCTGAGAAAACCACAGGGCCTAATAGCAAATGTTTGTGTGGTTAAGGCATTTACTGTCAAGTCAATCTCCTCCCATGACACAGAGAAATCCCTCAAGGACAGGAAGACGTTGTTTTTGCAGAACAAAAACAGTAAACCAGAAAATATGAATTTGGAGAAGCTAATAGTTCAAACTTTTCTAGTCTTTCATGGCAGTGTGTTGTGTTTTACCTGTCGGCTGTCCAGTTTGGACGAGGAGCTGCTGTTGCTGCGTGACACCGAGGATATCTTTTGTGACATGGCTGCTGAACTGCGATCCTCTGAGCCCATCTCGCTGCAGACTGGCCGCTGCAGTCTAAGGCTGGAGCACCCGGAACATTCCTCTACTGAAAGCAGATGGGCAGGAGAAGGGGTCAGGACGAGACAGGGTGGAGAGAAAGATGGCTTTAAGAGGCAAAACCTTTTAAAGCCTTTTAGCTGTCTCACTGAAAAATGCATTAGGTTATTCAGAGCGATTAGTTTTTCCATCTTCATGTAGAAGAATAGGGGAAGCTGTGCATAACAGTTTTCACGTACGCAAACAAAATGGACAGAAAAGACTTGAGGACATAAATTAGTCTGCAAAAAGATGAGAAAGCAGGGTTGAATAATTTCAGTGATGGATTGTCAGCATTTAGGGAATAATTTAATCGAAAACACACACAGAAAGTGTGTTCATACAGCAAAAGATGAAGTTCCTTCAGATGCTTGCATAAGGTAAACTAAGTAACTACTATCAGCAAAAATTACTTGACTTTTGGCATTTTTCACAAACTAAGCAATGATTTGAATATTTGTAAAAATAGACAGTGATTTATTTATATTTAACTATAGACTGTATTATTTTATATCTGATGCAATGGCATGTAAGCAGCTGATTACAACAACTTAACACACCATTCAATACATCCATGATCATTTTTATAGTATTATTAGGTTTTGCAAAGAACCGTCAGATGAACGTAGTGAATACAACTACAGTATTTCTTTCTGAAATTAATTGGGCTAGAAGTGCAAAGTAGCATAATATTGAAAATGCTCAAGAAAATAAGCGATTCAAAGTCGTACTTTAAAACAGTGCTCAATAAAAGCGATCATCAAATAAAGATATACACTAAATTAAAAAAAGCGTTTTCCTCTGACAGATTTCTATTTGTTTCAGTCATTCAGAGGCTGATCCTTATCACAGCTCAGGGTCAGAGGACTACACAAGGGAAGCGTCAACATGTTAGGATGCAGTGATGTAAGATCATCAGTGAAATGCAATATCGTCACTTCCACCGAGTGTGAAAATAACTGAGCCTCTTTAGCAGAGTGCAACCCTCAGTATACTGTCACACTTCACACAGTCTAATTAACATGACCGCTCTACCACGTCAGCGCACAGACCCCCTTTCTGATAATGCACTGAGTGGCAGTTTGTCACAGAATGGAAAGCTGACAAACAACAGGCATGATGTGTAAATCATGTTGGGAACAAGCAGCAGGTCGTTAGTTTAACTTCACCGAGGATGCACATAGGTACTGAGTTGTGAACCATTAGGTCAGAGATCATCGCTGCATTACAACACCAGCTGTCTGATTCTGTCTGAGAGACAACTTTGGCGTCAATTATTTTCTTTTTATGTCAGTAGTGTCTAGTTATTCTCATAGTTTTGGTTAGGGCTTGATAAGAATACAGATTATTAAGTATTCAAAGCTATTCGTTGGAATTTAACATTGGATGTTTTAAGGGCAAATGTATGGAAGTTGTAAAACGTGAACAATAAAACAGATGGACGTCAAGCACAGGAAACCACTTGGCATATGCTTTAAAAACATATTATTTTGCCAATATAAAAACAAATGAACAGAAACCTTCATCAAATGCTAAAAAGAGATGTACTTAAATCTACGTAAACATTTTGTGATCATAATACAATTCTCCTGCTAGCTTGCACTGAATAAGACACACCCTGTGTTGACATCTAGCAGCAGCAAGGTTAATGACATTAGCTGCTCCGTATTCCCCAAGCTTTGTGCTGCTTAACAGCCACAGCCTATACACCACTGCCATGTCTGTGGACAACAGGCAGAGGTTTACACTGAGCTCTACACCCAGAATGCAGCCACAACAACAATAGACCAAAGTGGCCGGACGAAAATCTATATCTATGTATGTATCTATGTCAAAGTCAAAGTCAAAGTCAACATTATTGTCAATCTTTCAGTTTGTGTGTACAGAAAGAGAGATCGAAATACCATTTCCCACAATCCCGAATACAAAAATAGAAATATATATAAAAATATGTATACAAATATATATCCTATACTGTATATACACAATCAACACATTTATATATATATAAATATATATATATATATATGCACACATTCAGATATTAATAAAAGCACAACAATCAATATACAAAATAACAGTCACTTTAACATCTTTGGGAAATGTACATTAGTGCAAGATTGTCAATAGCAGCGTAAAAAGTGTATCTATCTATATGCATCTCTTTTTTTTTTTTTTTATGAGTTTATTTATTTTATAAACAAACAGCCAAACAGATAGCACAATAGAAGTTGGCAAACAAATTAGGATGACAACAAAGTGATTCGAGTTCGACAGCATAAAAAACAAAGACAAAAAAAAATGAAACAAAAAATAAAATTAAAAAAATGGACTGTGACAGGACAAAAATCAACAAAAAATAAAAATCTAAATCTAAAGGCTCTGAGTCTAAGTCCATTATTAATAACTTAATGCAACAGTAGAGATCAAGGAATGTGCATAAATGGAACAAAAAGACCAAATATATCAACAACAAAAAAAAGATAGCACATAGTACTTGTTGGTCAGTCAGCTGCCCACTAATTACAATTTAACACCACAGGTCCACCACCCTGTTGTACAAAGACATCCGGCATTTCCAGCTCCCGCATATACTTGTAGTAGGGGTTCCACATCTTGTGGAATTTCCTCAGGGAGCCCCTCAGTACGCACCTTATTTTCTCGAGTTTGGCTGAATTTAGGACTTCTTTTAACCACAAGGTGTGTGAAGGGGATGTTGGAGACTTCCACATGAGCAATATCAGGCATCTGGCTAGTGTCACGGCTTGGCTCTCAGCCATAACAAACGCAGCGATGAGACGACGACGTGAGTATGGAAAAAAGAGGAGTTTATTCACGCTCCCCAAAACAACCGACCACCAAGCAGGGTTAACAAGCTCTATGCAGGAGGATAGCTGTTCCGGGCTGCTCTTCCTCCTACGTTCCCCCGGGCAGAGAGAGAGCCACTGCAGCCTACTTAGATCCTTTATAGAGGCGCTGATCAGATTGGGAGCACCTGGAGAGAGGCTGCACCTGGATACAATCAGGGAGAGAGAAGCACACACACCCACACACAGGCACACCCACACCAGCATAGGCAGTGAAGCAGGGGTCGTCACACCCCCCCCCNCCACCTCCTTATATATTTTAGACAGACTGAGCTTAGTAAAGTGTGTACGATGCACTACTTTTCACTGAATCAGTCCATGTCTAGCACAAATAGAAGATTTATGTACATTAGCGAGAGCTTTTTCCCAAAGTTCTTCAGAAATCTCCTCCCCAAGATCTGTTTCCCAAAGAGATTTAATGGAGTTCAGGGTAACCAAACGAAGAGAATAAATCTGAGCGTAAATACACGTCATCATTCCCTTCAGAGTAGGTAACGGCCTAAGGA